AGGTGAACCTGTTGTGCCCCCATGGCAAGATGTTCTGCTGCTGAATTAGCTGGGTGGTTTTGGATCCTAGTCTCTCCACAGGGACTTCAGCTGCAGAGTTTCATTGCAGGCCTGTATGCCAGGCCTGGGCTGCGTCTGGAGGGGTCCAGGGGGCATAGGAGAGCACAGAAGCTCTCCCACACACTCACTGGGCCTGGGCTTGGACAGGTCTGGAGGGGTCCCATGAGCGCATCGAAAGTTCTCACTCACAAGGCGGGCTTGGGCTAACTCTGGAGGGGTGGAGGGGTCCCGAGAGCACAACAAAAAGGTTTCACCTATGCAGCAGGCCTGGGCTTGGTCCAGAGGGGTCCAGCAGACACAGGGGAATGCAGAAGCTCTCCCACAAACTCACAGGGCATGGACTTGGGCGGATTTCTCTGCATGTGCTTTAAAGTGATCTTCTGAGCTACTGCCACCAGCAGTTTTGCTACCAGTACAACTATCCACACAGGGCTTTCCACATTTGGATATCTCCATTCTTGAGTTTATCTTCTTGTCTCTCAAGATATTACTCTTTGTAATTCTATTTTTTCTTTCTCTTATGTTTGCTTTTGCCTTAATTTTTTCTCTTCCATAAATCAACGTTTTTCTAAATTCCTAATAAAAATAAGGAAATAGTGACAATGTCCATTATTTAACATTATATTAGAACTTTCAGATGCATTAGCAGGTTATGAACCTTCAAGTGAATTCTGATAATCTTCAATTGTAATAATAAAACAAAAAAGTAACTCTTGTTGAACAGAGAGATGTTCTTGATTCTTTTCTATAATTTCTCAGATTAAATGGATGTTGTAATATTGCAAATGTATTTAAAGATTCTTGTTTCAGAGCTGTGATGATTTTAGTTCAAGATGAAAATGACCTTTCACATGTTTTCTTCAAATTTATTAAGCACATCATTTCTAATTCCCTTTAGCAAATGGTGACTCTTTTAAACACTCTGTAGCCAATTTTATGTTTTATACTGTGATTTAGAAATCCCAATAAATAAAACTTTCATTCATATGAATTGAGGCACTCATATCTATACACATACAACAAAGATTTGCGTAAGATCAACTTTATCAATGGAAAATACCCTATGACTTACTTTCTTGCATTGCCCTCAATTCTTAATCATTTTGAAAGAATCTCAGGCTGGCCAAATAGCTCAGTGGAATAATGCACCTGCTTAGGCAGGCAGGGGCTTGGGTTTGATTCTCCAGCCTGTGGTGCCAGCCCTGCCCCCAGGGTGTGATGAGATGGTGATTAAGACTGGGCGTGGTTGTGTGTGCCTGTAATCCCAGCACTTGGGAGGGTGAAAAACAGGAGGATCACTACAAGTCCAATCTTGTAGTGAGACCCTGTAGACCTTGTACTAAATACAAAATAATAATAATAATGACAATAATTTTGAAAGAATTTCATGGATTTTAATAATTTCTTCCTTTTTCATAAGACAAAAAAAATCAAACTGTTATAAATGTAGGTTAAGAACACTGAGTGTCTCTCAGACATCTATCTTAGAAAAGAGTACTGAAGACACACACACAAATAGACATTGTCTCTCCAAAGAGAATAACAAGGTCAAAGGAGCAAAAAGAGCAGAAACTATAAAAATAAAAGACTTGTAAATAAAGGTAAGGAGAAAGGTGTAATGGGTAAAAGGGATAGCTAGTAATCAGCAGATCATATTTTATAAGGCTATTTCCATCTTTAAGTTCACTGATGCTCTTCCATAGATACAGTTGTAGTTCCCAGGTGGCTTTATCACTACGTTAGTACAACAGCATTTCATTTATATTAAAAACTGAAATTATATAAGTTCATAAATTTAAGCCTTTCCTTCCTTTATTTCCAACCCATTGTTGATCTTCTCCTAAGAAATAAAGGACTAAATCTAGCTCAACAACCAGATGATTTGGCAAGGATATAACTGGCTTATTTAAAAGTGCTCTGAATTTTTTTCTCTTGAACATTTACAGAATGGACATCTGAAATTAAGATTTTTTTTTTTTAAATCTCTTCTCGTTTTCTTTTGGCAACTTTCTTATAAGGCAACTTAAGTTCCTAACTGATTTAAGGATGATTCCACAAAATTTTAACTGCATCAGTAGCTGTCCATCTGGATCAAAGCCTACAAATATGCTGATAAAGCCAGTGCCACACTGTCCAAAAGAAAACAAAATAAGAAAAACAAGAAACTGGAGAACAAGGAAAGACAAATTAATAAAAAATTAATGTTGTTATTTTCTAATGATTTAGTATTTAGTATTAGGACTCAAGCTCTATTATTAAGGTGCTTATAATCTTGCATTTCATGAACAATGGCAAAACAAGGTAGTATAAGTTCTTCATAGAACCATAGAGAAGCTGATGCTGTAAAGTTGTCAAGAAAGGTTAGGAATAAACATTTTGATGAGTTTGTTGGATACAATGTACAATTGTAACCCAACCTACTCCATACCTCTTATGGGGAAAGATCTCATCCAAAAGCCCTATGTCTCTCTCACCTCTCTCCCCACAGTGCTTGTCCTATAAACCTAATCTCAATGCACAGTCAGCTCCTCCTTTCCTCTTCCCTTGTCAACCACATACTATGAGACACTTCTAGTCCCATATGCTATTTATATACTGGTGTAAATCAGAGATCCTATGCCATTTCCCTGAATTCCCCAATACCCAGTAGCCACCAAACATCAGAGGGGACTCAAGCCCATCATTCACTACCTCCTTTGTCCTATAAACCCTCCTCACCCCCAAGAACTCTCCTAACCCAGACCACCAACCTCACCAAGTGCTGGCTGTGCATGTCTATTCTAAGGCCTGACCTCACAGCCATCCCAGCCATACCCAACAGCACACATACCTGCCCCCCTTCCCAAAAATCTTTAACCAACAAACACTCCTTTTTACAATTACCCTCTTCCCACATCCTCACATGTTCCCCAGGAAACTCCACTGGCCTCCCTTGCACCAAGCTCACTTCATTTAACACACCTCCAGACAAACAACACAGAACAGGCACACAGTTGTTTCTGTGTGGCACCTCGGTCTTTTGTTGCCTTCCATTATCCTTCCAGTGCACTCCAGTGACTGTGATCCTTAATTTCAACATATACACAGACTCAGAGTTTCAAGATGCCTTCTTAAGAATACACCCACACCCCATGGGAAAAAATGGGCCACCTACGTGGGTGTTCTGGTAGGCACAGTTCTCCTAGGGCAACCCTGGGAGCTACAGGACTTGAGACATCCCTAGGAGGCTCCCTAGGATGGGGTGAACAAGGTATATGGAACTCCATCTTCCCTTGGCTCACTCCCCTTATAGGGCCCTTCACAGGGCTTGCTATTATGCTCACGGTTTCCCCCTGCATTACTTCCCTCATTGGCAGTACTGTCACCAGATGAACAACCCAAAATTTTAATCAAATGCTTCTCTCAGATTACTCTTACCAGGTACTAGTCCAATGGGACGCAACAGAAGACTACTCTACACCTTCCTCTGACTCCTCCTGATGCCCGGACTCTACCCCCTTATGGCCCCCAGTGAGCTGGAAGTAGCCAGACCACTTCATCACCTTCTTTCCTAACAAACAGTGTCTAAAATGATGTCAGGACCCTCACCCTCATCCAAGCCTCACTTCCTTTTGGCCCCAAGCCAAGGCCAACCCACAGAAACAATTCCACCAACTTTGTGTCTTGGACCCGAGCTGGGCCAAAACCACAGAAACTCTCCTTTTGTTAACACTGAAAGTCCCCCACAGACCAGGTAGCCTTGCCAAGATTAGCTCTCCCTGGACTGTTTCAGCCTGCAAACACACTCCCCTAAAAACCCTATAAAATCTCCTGTCTGCTTTTGTTCAGGGCTGTCTGGATCCACTAGACAGCCAGCCTGCTTGTTCCTACATCCAATAAATCTTCTCGTGTGAGAATGCCTGGTCTGCTCAATTGCGTGGGTTCTTACCTAACACAACATGCAGTAGAATATAATAGGCATGGAAGGCCCTGTGTAATACCCACTGCCAACTCGTTTTTCTTTCCACTACCTATTGAACAGGATTCTGCAAGATATGTCATGATATGGAATTCACTTAAATCCTCAGGGGGAAGTGTATCAAATAAATGCTTTTGGTAATATTTTATAATGGGTCATACTGTCATGGCTTATATCTATGTGTCCCCTCAAAGCCTCATGTGGTCATGGGAGGAGCTTTTCAGAACCAGCTGGATCTAAAAGTGTGTGATGCTGGGATTGATTCACAGCACAATGTTGGCATTAAGGCTGCCCCACCCTAGGTGTGAGTGCTATCCTCCCAGTAGCCTGAAGGGAATACAAAGAACAGAAAGGGGGCTGCTGCTGTCACTTATTATTTTGCTGCTTGCTGCTTGTCTGCTGCCTCCTGCCTGCTCTGTGATGCCATTTGTCACACCATCCAGCCTTGGAGCCAGCTGACTATGAACTAAAACCTTTACAAACTGTGAGCTACAGCAAACCTTTCCTCCTGTAACTTTGGGTGTTGAGTATTTTGTCTCAGCAAGGAGAAAAAAGTAATTAAAACAATACTGTGATTCTTTCTCAGCAGTTTCTCTGTTCTGCCATTAAATCTTTCACTCTCCACCACCCCACATTACTAGTAGATGATCAGGCTGCTGAAGAGAAGCTATAATGGATGAAAAGAAGAGAAGATTCAGGACTTTCTAATTCCCTACACCTATAAATGTTTGTGGATATTTCAAAGTTTCAGAACTGTCCCCAGTGCTGTCTAATTAAAGGAAGGACAACTAAGGACACCATGCATTCTGAATGGGCCTCAATATCAAGTATATATAAGAGTCTATTCCCCATCTCAACTTTCCCAATAGCCATTACTATGCTTGTGAGTGTCCAGAACCTATAGGCAAGGAACACATTTCCTATGAGTTTTAGCAGCGGTTTAATTTTTCACCTTTTTAACTGTGTAAACTTTTAAACTTACTCCAATAGCTGCTAAGATTGGGGCCTGGTAAATCCACCTGTCTCCAGCACTAAGTTCCCAGCACCTGAAACATGAAAAAGAACTTTCATGAGTACATTTGGTAAATCAAATTAACAATGAGAAGTATTTGAAATTTTATCAAAAACTTATTCCCATTCTGTTGATTTAAAAACAAATAGATAAAAACTATTTTATTTTAAATCATCTAAATCCTGATCTAGATCTATAACATCTAGATCTTGAGTTCCATACTATTAGATTCCCTTTATGTAAGCACTGTATTATAAATACAGTAAGTTAAGCTTTACAGTGACTAGAGTTAAAACTGTATTTCCAGAACAATATCAAAAAATTAGTCTTCTAAATATAGTGCAATTGACATTTCATTTTTATAATAATCAAAATGAGACATAATAGGTTAAGCTTGTTGATAACGTTCTCTCCCGTTGAGAAGATAAGGCAATTTTATTTTACAAGGTAGAACATTAACAACAATATAAACCATTTTTACCCATAGAAATACAATTAAAAAACTGAATTCAAATGATTCTTGCCATAGAAAGAAAATTAGCTCTATTCAATGGGATATAATTGTCCTACGAAAATTAACTAGTTTTTACATTTATTTGTAAATTTTCAGTATCCATTTTCCTGAATACAAATGTAGTTCTCTGATAGCCCATTGGAACCAATTATATCTTACTTGTTCCTTCATTAAATAATGCTTTTAAAATCCATGGCAGGCATTTATTTTGTATAATCCATTACTTTATCACAATTTTTTAAAGTTTGCTTTAACAATACTTCAAAAAAACCACCATGTAGTCACCAATTGTTTTCTGATTCTTGACTAAAATGTAAGTTCTACACGGTCAAGCATCAGTATTGCTTTTGTGTTTTAAAGTTTTACAAGTGCCTAAAACGGTACAGAGTATACAGGTAGTCAATAAATATTTGTTGGAATGAATTGATAAAAATTAAATCCAAAGCCATTTTAACACAACCTCATGCAATCTGGTTTATACTATTAAAGGTCTTACATCATAATAAATATTACAAAGCCATTTAAAACTAAAACTAGTTTCATTTCAAACTTTAATTTGACAATTTAAAGTTATTTTTAAATTAAAGAACAATTATTAAGAGCCTTCAATTTCTTTCTCAGACAAAATGCTGATTGAGGCAACAATACATTACATAGTATAAAATAATTAGGACATATAATGGTAATTTTTAAATTCTATGTGAATCATCAAAAGAAATCAACAAAGTACAAAGACAGCCCACAGATTAGGAAAACTTTTAGACAACTGTATCTCAGACAAAGGACTTCTATATAGAACATCTAAAGAGTTGAGAGAGCAGACTCCAAAATTTAAAGAACCAGTCCAAAAATGTGCATCTGAAATGAATACATACTTCTGAGATAAAGAAATACAAATGGAAAATAAATATATGAAAAAGGTTCAATGTCATTAGTCACTTGAGAGAGATGCAAATTAAAACAACATTGAGATTCCACTTCACCCCAAAAATAATAGCTATAACAAATGCTGGAGGGGCTGTGAGGAAAAAGGAACCCTTCTCCATTGTTGTCAGAGGTGCAGATTGGTGTAACCATTGTGGAAATCAGTGTTGAGATTCCTCAGAAACCTAGGATTAGAGGTCTTATTCAACCCAGAAATTCCCTTCTGGGTATTTTTCCCAAAGAATTGAAGACATCACATCACAGTGATATATATTAAAACAGCACAATTTCTAATAGCTAAATCTTGGAAACAACCCATTGCTCATCAACCAAGGAATGAATTTAAAAAGATGTGGTCTTTTATATATTAGAGTACTACTCAGACATAAAGAATGATAAACTTGAGACATTTATAGGTAAATGGATGCAACTTTAGACAATACTCTTTAGTGAAATAAATCAGACCCAAATGTCTAAACATTGTATTGTCTCCCTAGTGTGAGAAACTGTATGAATAAATAAGGTCTAAAATGTGCAGCACTCGCCCCACTGACAAGCCTTTGCGGCTGCCCCTCCAGGATGTCTACAAAATTGGTGGTATTGGCACTGTCCCTGTGGGCCGAGTGGAGACTGGTGTTCTCAAACCTGGCGTGGTGGTCACCTTTGCTCCAGTCAATGTCACAACTGAAGTCAAGTCTGTTGAAATGCACCATGAAGCTTTGAGTGAAGCTCTTCCTGGGGACAATGTGGGCTTCAACGTCAAGAACGTGTCTGTCAAAGATGTACGGCGTGGCAATGTGGCTGGTGACAGCAAAAAAGACCCACCAATGGAAGCAGCTGGTTTCACTGCTCAGGTGATTATCCTGAACCATCCTGGCCAGATCAGTGCTGGCTATGCCCCTGACCTGGATTGTCACACAGCTCACATTACTTGCAAGTTTGCTGAGCTGAAAGAAAAGATTGATCGCCAGTCTGGTAAGAAGCTGGAAGATGGGCCCAAGTCTGAAATCTGGTGATGCTGCCATTGTTGACATGGTTCCAGGCAAGCCCATGTGTGTCGAGAGCTTCTCTGATTATCAACCTCTGGGTCGTTTCGCTGTTCGTGATATGAGACAGACAGTTGCTGTGGGTGTCATCAAAGCTGTGGACAAGAAGGCTGCTGGAGCTGGCAAGGTCACCAAGTCTGCCCAGAAAACTCAGAAGGCTAAATGAATATTATCCCTGCCACCTGCCACCCCAGTCCTAATCAATGGCGGAAGACCGGTCTCAGAACTGTTTCTCCAAATTGGCCATTTAAGTTTAATAGTGAAAGACTGGTCAATGATAACAATGCATCGTAAAACCTTCAGAAGGAAAGGAGAATGTTTTGCGGACCAATTTTTTGTATGTGTGGCAGTTTTTTAAGTTATTAGTTTTTTAAAATCAATACTTTTTAATGGAAACAACTTGACCAAAAATCTGTCACAGAATTTTGAGACCTATAAAAACAAAGTTTAATGAGGAAAAAATAAATAAATAAAATAAAATAAAATGTGCAGCAGATACTGTAAAATGGAAAAAAGCTATCCAAAAGGAAAAAGGAACTAGGAAGGGGAAAAGGGGAAAGGAAAAGAGAGAAAATACAAATCAGATATACTATCAGTGTCTTTAAAAATAATAATAATAATAATAATAATATGCAATGTCTTAACTACTGTTCTTCTCCTATTATCTTGTTATGAAATTTTGCTTTACTTTGTTCTATCAAATAAAAAATAAATTCTATGTGAGCAGTTAAAAAGCTAGTTTACTAATGAAATGTTATTTCAACTATTTCTTAAAGGTAAAACATTTTCAGTACATATCTATCAACTACATATTTTTAAAGTTTAACATTTATTTATATAGGCAATGTATTAAGAAAATATCAAGATATCTCAACCTTTGCCCACGCTCCTATCTACTTTTGCCATAGCCTGTTCCTCATAGAGAACATCTCTTATTACCTTAAGGTATCGTATCAGCTTTCAGTGATTCTTTATGCAAACACAAATGCAAATTTATGTTCTTAATTTCTCCTATTACTATGTTTGGACCTGAAACTTTCCTCAAAGGCTCATGGGTTGATATTTGATCCCTAGCCTGTGGTACTTTTAGAGAGTGGTCAACATTTAGAATGGAAGACAAGTGGCAGGGGATGTGCCCTTGGGGGACACTGGGATCCTGATACTTCCTCTCTTTAGTCTACTTTCAGCTGATATGCGGTAGTCTCCCCTGCCACTCTCCCCATGATGCACTATGTTCCCATAGGGCTATAGCTACAGGGCCAGCAAATCATACATTGCAAACATGACTCAAATTAAACTTTTTCCTCCTTTTTAACTCATTGTCATAGTGATAAAAAGCAAACTTACCTGTCTCCAAAAAAAAGTAATGTATCCTCTGTTGTATGATTTGTTATTGCCTGTAAGGTACTTTTAATTTTTTTCATACCAGTGCCAAGGGAAAGCCATCTCACAGCATTCCACTGTGAGGCTCACCACAGAAGTCAACATTTGGAATACTGTTGAATACTTCCTAACTTTAGGTAAAGGCATCTATTTTTCACATAACTCAAAAAGACCAATCAATCAACCAACAAAAGTCATTAAAATAGGGAAACAGAGCATGTGTCCTACTACCATAAAAAGTTTTCTTCTATAAGGAAAGTGGAAATGTGAAAATGCAAAATAAACACTGATTTACTATCTAGAATGCTTTTGAATTCCACAAATTTTTCTTTCAATGTTTGACACTGAATAATAGTTTCAGTCTTCTTTCTTTGCCTCAATGACATTTGATCATATCTCCTAACGCACTGGGATTCAATTTTACTACTCTAGCTCTGCAAAATAATTATCCTTGGAAGTAGGTCAAAAGCAGCTACACTTAAAAACATGAAAAATTTAATTTTGACAATTTTTGTCACCAAAGTTTCAATTTTCCCTTTGATATAAGAGATACAACTGAGATTTCAGACATTTTTAAAATGCTATGAATCTATGAATCCTTGTTTTAATCTTTCATTTCATGCTGTATTTACATGATTCAGAACCTACCTTCCATTCAAATTATTAAATAAATTTTTAACATTCTAAGAAATACATTTCTGAATGCTAATACATAAGGCAGAAAGATCTGACTAGAAAGCAGAACTTCTACATCATGCTTGGAAACTTGCTATGTGGCAAAGACCCCTGCATGCCGCATGACCTAATACTGCACTCTCTCCACAACTCATTCAGTAGAGGAAGCAAAAGAGGCCTGACCTGAGGGTGCAGGCAGTCATAGGAATGTCAGAGAGCATCCTCTCTTGTCCCTACCTATCCTTCTGAGTGGTAAATTAAAAATATAGCAACAAAGTTACACATATCTCCAGCTGTTGGCATCTCTTACCTTCTTTGAAAGAGTTAAGAAGAAGGGAATAATCTTGAGTTGCTTTCGTAAGTAAAAAGAAAGATAAGAAAACTCACTTCAAACTTGAATTGTTCACTTAAGTTTGCAGACCAAAAATTAGAGAAAAAGAAGGGCTGCAAGGACAGCCGACATTTTGGCCCTAGCTTTTCAAGATCAGTGAGGACTCAGGAAATAGGAGAACCTGTACTGTAACATCCTGTAACGCAGTTGTATCCCAAATTTTCTGATCAAGGAGATTATGGGGCCCTAGAAGAAAGTGACCGATGATGTACAGTGTGCCTAAAGAGAGTCACATGGAGAGAAAACATTCTCTCAGGCTTTCACAGCAAACTGGTCAAGCAGTGGCCATGACTCATCCACATGGCTGACAGTGACAAAGAATCTACACACTGCACTACAGGGTTTCAGGGTAAATCCTGAGGGGATTTGACTGACCTTGTCAGATACAAAAGTTACCTTTCTTGTTACATGGGTCCTGTTTTACCTTGGTAACCATCCATCAGAAAAGTAGAAAAAGAAAGTATTAAAAGTAAAGCCATATTAACATGCTGAGCTGTAAAAGGCTGAAGTCAACAACTTCTGACATTTCCAGTCCGGTGGATAACCCACTACTATTATGGACTACTGGACTATATTGGAATATTTTGCTGAATTCATGCACTTACAATATTTAAGTGACAATGGAATACCCATCTCTAACAAAACTAAACAAAAAAGGGGATACAAATGAAGGACCATTTTGTATCTGTATATTCAAAATAGGATAGATATACCACTACTTTCTTTTAATTTAATGAATAGAAAGATTTGTACTAATAGTGTTTGTGAGCAGGATATCATGTCTGCATCTTTTACTATGAATAAACACTAAGAAGACAACACTATGCAATGTATTAATTATTGAAACTGTCCTACTAATCGATTTTGAAACTACCTCATTGCTCTTTGTTTCTCAATAAAATAAAAAAATTTAATTGTTCATCCTAATATTAAATTATCTTAGCATCCCTCAGTTGAATAACACTTTATACAATTAATTTAGCATTGGAAGAGACTTTCCATGTAATTATAATAGTTTTCAACAGAGTATTTTTAGCATGCTTTGATTACACACTCTGGTCCCTCCCTTTGCCTTGTTCTCTCTGGCTTCACATGGGGTGCCGACCTCAATAGATATACTATATTCTGCTCATATCTAACCCATATTCACTAGTCATTTTAAAAACTTGATCTACTTTGTTTATCTCTGAATGGCCAAGATGCAGGGAAAAAATTAGTTCTAACTTTGAAAGACCAAAACAGAAGTTGAATCTCAAATGCAAGTCATGACTATGAACCCTATCTTACTTTTGGAAATACATAGTCTTCCCTCTGTCTAACTTTGTGACATAGCTCTTTACATGTGACAAGTCCTACACAAGAGAACCACAGAAACTTCCTGTCTATGAGTCTCATGACAAACTGAACCATGCAGTTTTGAAATCATGCCAGATAAACAGTGATGCACCTTAGTTTTATATGTATAGCAAATAAAAAATGACTCTCTGGTTTCCAATGAGACAGTGTAGAATTCAAAATTTTATTCTGAGAAAGGTAGGAGAAAAGTAAAGTGTTTCCCATGGTTAAAATACATAAAACAGAGCCCAGGTCCGGTGAGTGTGCGGAGAGCTTCCTGCTACCCTGCGCC